AGTCGGGGACCTCTCTAACATCCATGGCCCTATGTGGCTCCCTCCACACCTAGCATAGAAATCTAGGTTCATCTCACTTGGTGCCATGAAGATGTGTTTGACACTTTTGCAAATTATGTACTTCGCAGAATCATGAACTACGTGTTACAAGGTATTCCAAACCCATTCACATCCATTAATTCTTCTCTTTCTTTCAATTATTTGGTAAAAACATTGTATAGCACATATAAAACATAGATTCATGACCAATTCATGCACAATTCATCCAATTCCGCAAGGACCCCCAAATTATGCATACAACTATAACCCTCAAACACAAGGCAATTCTATACATCAATAATCAATCACAAAAGTTCAACCATAAAATTTGCATATCAATAGTTCCACATACAAATCATATATTCCTACAAAAATTCCTTAAGAAACTAAGAAGCTTAAGGATTGTCTCACTATCCTTATCTCTCATATGTACCCATAAATGTGACTATCTCACACCCCCTTTTACCGTGAGTGATGATTCTATAGTACTGTGCGTTACTTGTAGCTCTAATACTACTTTGCACTCTCTAATCTTCTAGATTCTCCCCAACAAGTGCTCTTTAGAAAGGATGCATAATGAAAATTTAACCCTTTTTTGTTTTAAAAAGTCTTTAAGTTAAACTTAGAGTCCAATGCAAACTCTTCTTCTTTCTCTCACACATTCTTATTTTGTTTAAAGTCTATAATATATTTTTTATTAAAGAAAACTTCATTTATTTTAAAAATTTTGGGATTTTATAAATTATGCACACTACAAGAAAATTGCCATATAGTGACACACATCCTATAGTGACACTATACATGTTACTAAAAATTACTTTTACCCACATAATAACTACAATATATGTTAGTATATTATTAAAAAGTGTGGATATAGGCTATAGTGACATACAAAATATGTTGTTAAATCTCATTCAAAATCAATACTAAACTTGTGTGTAACTATATGTCAAATAGACATATACTTACATATATTGTACCTATAGTAACACTTTTTGTATGTCACTATATGTAACATTTCTTGTAGTGACAATTTATTTTTAAAATATTTAATTCTGTTAATAAATAAATAAAAATAATTAAATAAGAACTTAAAGAGAATCACCAAAAACAATATCGTCCTAAAAAACTCACTCAAGATAATCACTTGTGTTTTTTAATTTATTAGAATTACATTAACAGTATTAGAGTTTGAACCTAAAATCATGTGCCTATTATCTGCAATCTCTCATCATTGCTCCTATTTAACATACAGGAGTTTATAATTAATATTAAAATTTAATTTATAAATAAATATGATAAATAAAAAATTAATAGAATCCCTACAAATATTATTATTGAACTAACAAGTTATTAATCCAAATAATATTAAACTTGATCCATTTAAGCAAAGTCACATGTTCAAATTTTATGTAAATAAAACAAGAATTAAAAAAATGACTTCACTAAAAATGACCTAGTCAGATTTCCCAGCAAAAGATTTTTATAAGAAAATCTCTACAAAGATTTTTGTCAAGAAAATAGCCCTTAAAAACATTCTTCCATAAAATATCTACTATCACTCGTTTCCATAAATGCTTTAAGATAAACACTCGTACCGCACCTAAACCTATGTAGTTGATAGTTTTTCTTCTTATTTAATTATTTGGTTCATGTTTCTTCTTCTTCTTTTTATTGGTCTTTTTTTATGTACCCGTGGAATTTAGGTCCAATTACCATCTCTGTCACTAGCTAACTAGAGAATGAGTGTTTTGTTTGAATTCCCCTTCGTGAGCCTACCATCTACAGACCAAATAAAGAGAACATAAATGTATGTCGCACACTCAACATAATTGTCACCATAATTTCAATTATTGAATATATTAAATATATTTTTATCCTTTATTTTAATTTTTTTATAAATAAAAAGGTTTTTTATTTAAAAAAATTTAAACTAATAAATAACTAGTTATTAAATTCTTAGACAATAACATTAAAGATAAAATTATTATTCAATTAACCTTATTAATTATTTTGTTTATTTTTTAATATTTTATAAGAAGATGAAATTTTTTTTATATATTTTATTAAAAAAGAATATTATTACACAAAAATTTTAAGCTAATAAATAACTAATCATCAAATTCTCGTAATCAAATAATATCAAAGATAAAAATAATATTTAGATGATGTTATTGATTATTACATATTTGAAAAATTTTTAAAGAAATTTTTATTTAAAAATAACTCTTATTTTAACTTGTATACAAAGTTTATCATAACAAATAATATTCTACAAAATTTTATATTTAAGTAACATTAAAAATAGAATTATTACTCAAATTAATGTTACAAATTATTGCATGAACTAAAACTATTATCTTAATATATAAAAAATGCAAAATCAGAATTTTGTTTTGTCATGAAATACAATTATCAGTTTTAATGGAAGAAAGAAAATAGAACCAATAAAATACAATCGTTGTAACGTACACGTTCTCAAAACCTTAACCTTTAAAGTCAAGACAAATCTTTTTAGCATGTTTTAACTTAATAAAGAAAACGACAAAGACCATCAATGTAATCTTTAAATATTCACACTAAAGCAAAAAAGAAGAGAAAAATAAATTAAAAAAAAAACAAAAGAATAGAAGAATAAATAAATAATTGGGGTACACAAAACTCAAAATGAATAAAATGAAAATACATAATTATTAAGAAAAGGCCATGAAACCAACACCACTATTATGAATATTCTAATTTTGCACGAAAGAATAGAAAGATATACACTTATACAGGTAAAATTTCGAAAACAGAAAGGGAATGAAAGATAAAATAAATAACTACACAAAGGACATGTGCCTATTGAAAGATAAATAAATTCTTTTAAAGAGTGTCTCATTTTCTTAAATAGACAAAAATGTCAAACAAGCATAACGTTTCATAAATTATAATAAAGTAATAAAAATAGATCATGTATCGGTCAAAATTAGTGTGGACCATTTGAGTAACACTAATACTGCACACATGAAAGTGCAAAACTCCCTAAAACATTGATAAGATAGTAGTTAATTCAACATTACATGGAAGTTAGGATTTTCAAATAAACACTTCGAAATTCAAACTAAATACAATAATGTCATGGCACCCGTTTGTATTTCCATTATAACTTTCCATGTAATCATTATCAGAAAAGTAAACCCCAATCTATGGATAACCATTAACCATAATGCTTCAAAGGTCCACTATTGTGAGCCTTGTCATCCAATTGGGTCACATGATCCATCTTCCCTCTTCATCTTTGTTAAGAAGCAGTTAGTCCTCTAATAGAGGTTATAGAATGTTTATTTCATACCTTAATTCATCTTTACAAAATTAAGTTATAAAATAAGGATTATAACTTATTTATATGTACTATTTTGATTATATCATTAATCAATCCTAAGAAAAACTTCAATTTTAAGAGTTCTTCTAAGACAGATGGAGTGAATCTGTCTTGGGTTCATGGTTTTATATTCTCTACAGGATCACGACAGCATTAACTTTTCAATGTTTTCATGGGGATCTTGTGATAGCATTAACCACTTTTTTTTTTTTTTTTTTTTTTACCCTTTTTTTTTTTTTTTTTTTTTTTTTCATTTTTCTTTGGTTAAAAGGGAAAGGAATTAAGATTTTGTCTTGCCAGGGGGTTTGCATTTTGATCCCGGCCAAAGGAACATGCACCAAAATGTTTTAAGTCAATTTCAAAGGCTTTAACATGGCCAAGTCCAAGAATTCACAATGTGAAAGGTTACGCTAGTATTCAACTCCTGACATTGAAGACACTTAAAACTTAAAAGTTTTCACACCATTTCTATATGAATCACTTCACAAAACCTTTTCCAAACTTTCATAAGAAAAGAAATAAGGATAGAAAGTAGAACCACCGCAAAAGAAAGATTTACTAGTTATCAATTGAATTTCCACCAAGACACCCCAATTCGGCAAGTCTTGAATTTTTCACAAAGCAAAAGTAATTGAATGAACAAAAAGAACGACAGCAATTACATTAAAGGGAAAACACAGTCCCAAAGGAACCTAATAATAGCCTTTTAGCGTAAATGTCTAGATTCTCACGAAAATAAGGTATATTTCACATGCAGGAATTGCAATTTGCAACCAAGGCCGAAAAGAAAACCAACGTCCTTTTTAAGTATTATATCTCTCATGGGGTGCAGATAAGTTTGTTGAGAAAAATGAGTGAGTATTATAAATCTTTTGATACTAAATTCGATTTCTTATGTATTTTGTTCAAATAAACCACCCATCTCATCCTCAAATTTTTATCTTCTCTTAAATTAATTTCTGAAGTAATAAAACTATTTAAACAATTCCTGAAATGTCAAATATACGCCATTCTAATCTCGAAATTGATGTTTTTCAATACAGTTTAGGAATCAATTTGAAAGTTCTTTAAATATTTTAAAAATTATTTAACATAATTTTTAATACTTTTAAAATAACTCAACTTGTCTTTTTTTAATTTATGGACTACTCAATAAAGAGAATAATACTTTAAGAAATAAATTATTAATTTGCTTTTAAAAGTTTCATTATAAGTGTTACTCAGGTGTGAAGATGTTCGAATTTAAGGTAATTCTTTGATGACCCTTCAAAATTAAAGTTTTTAATTTTTTTTTAGTATACAACACAAGTATTCTCTATGAGAGACATTTATCTTTGAGTGACGAGCATTTAATTTTACCATATGGTTTCTGCGTGGGTATTTAATTTTGCCAAGGAAAATTGAAGTGAAAATAGAAACAGAAAAAAAGAAGCAAAAACTAATAAGACATTTTGGTAATACCATAAATCATAACCGACTCTTACATGGTTAAGCAGCAGCACGAGGGGAAAAACAGTTTCCATGCAAGTTTGATATATCTTACATGTGTCTAGGATGCGAAAAAGTGTGCAGCTTTGACATATTCAATCTACAGTTCTTAAACCCCACTTAACATAGACTTTCCTTGTATCTCACAACCTTATCATTGTGTCAAGGCTTTAATTTATCCATACACTTACTTGAAGAAACTCTGCTATAAATATTTATAGAAAAATTTATCTAAATGTGTTATCACCAACATGCGGCTGTGATCTAAAGATCCAAAACTAAAAGTACTCCGACACTGTTCTGCTCCAAGTCCCTTAACTTACATGCGTCTACACAAATGTAGTATATTGGTATGTATTGGTATACCATGAATTATCAAAATTTCTTTCATTCTTTCCAGCTACTGAGTAATTCTCAAGGAAGATAAGCTTTGTTACCTTACAAGTTACAAACGAGATGTTTTGCCTAGAGGGTAGCACCAATATCATTATCATTGTGATTTTCATTCCCTTACTTATATTTTACCCAAGTACACTATGTTGTACATTCCGTTCCAAATAATGGTATCAATAAGTAAAATGCTATCATGTACAAGGTTCCATTTCCCATGGTTGTCTTCTTTTATTGATTTGGGCTACTCGTCATAAACCCAGTTGCTGACACGAGAACGATGACCAATAGATCCTCCTATTGCATGTTTTGAGTCAAGCAATTGGAGTTGTCTTTGAACCCATGGAGGATCATAGTTACTCAGCCACAGAACTTCACCAGTATCCTTGTGCTTAAAATCAGGCTGCTTTGGATTTAACTTGCGCTTTCTTTGATCCCACCACTCATTTGGGTTGGCAAAAAACACTTGCCAAAGGTAAAGCCGCTTTTGATTACTTCGCACGCCAGCTTCCACTATATTTATTTGACATGAAAAGAATAAGCACATAGATAAGAACATGAAGATGCATGAAAATAAATCAGTTTAAGATCAATGAAGTAACCATAAAAATTGTAAAACCAACTCAATCAAGAAAGATACGAAAACCTGATCCCTGGTGCAACAAAAGATCTATAAAAGAAGAATACGAAAGCAATAACAGATATAGTTTATCCCAAAATTAGATAGACTTCTATGTCTTGCAGTACATAGCAAAACCTCATCTAGTAATAATACTTCCCTACAAAAGCGATTAATTAATAATTAATATGCATAAAAATCACATTAGACTTTCCAGAGATTTCCTTTCCTCTATACACACATCAATATTTGCCTCTCTGATCTGTCCTTTTTCTCTTTTCTCATTAAAATAAAATTTATTATATCTTTAGAAAACAAATATTCATCTCTACATGCATCAGTTTCCTGTGCTAGAAACTTCGTAAAGAAGAATTTGTTTCAACATTAATAACTACTTGAGAAATATTTTTGCGCACTTTCAAACAAGAACAATAACCAAAGAAAAACAACAGCTCTCAGCATTTGTGTTAACATAAGCAACCAAACATACCTTCAACAGATTCCAGTTTCTTGTGGCCTTGATTACTTTGAGCAACAAACTCGAACTTCTTCACATTTAGCTGTAAAGAAATAAATGCAAAATTTACATACGACAAGAAAAAGAGAAATATCACATGATGTAGATTAAAAAAAGTGTAATGATAAAAGAAGAATTGTGAACACTTGAGCGCCATAATACATTTTAAGGATAGTATTTTACAAACATAAACATAAAATCTAAGACTTAAATTCTAAACATGAAGCAATAGGTAAAACGGGGATACTTTGATGTGCAATATCCATTTAACTATATGATAGGCGATAGAAAAATCTATTATGCATGCGGATAATAGCCATCTAATAGCATCTTTGGATATTGTTTGAATAACAGGAGGTTGCTTTTCTTTTTCATTTCTCTTTCAAAATTTCTCCTTAAAAGATATTGATTACAAGTTACTTGGAAGATAAAATAAATTAATCCAACGACATAAATGAGATATTTATCATGAAGACTTGTCAAAGGATTATTGTAGCTAAACCATGAGAACGATAGTGATAAACTCATAATCATAACCCGGTGTTCTGTGAATCAAGCTTGTTTTCACACAGGCTCACAAAAAAGAAAGGAAAATTTCATATTAGAAAGTTAAAAACTTTAAGTATTCATGAGAAAATGTGGTAATGCTGTGAATTGAGTAAATTATGATGAAATAGTTCCCCAAACAGGACATCCAAGGATAAAATTACAGCAAATGATCACCAATAGTTCCACCGACCAGAAAATAACCAAGAAACAACATTACAAATTTTCAATTGCTTGTCACCCTAGCACACAAGAAATAACACATGCAAACCAGAGCACCATTCAAACAAGAACCTAGAACTTAAGTGCACTTGACGTACGACATACCAAAATAATCGAATAGGAAATTAAACCTTAAAATGGCTTCATTTTCGTATGGTTTCATGTAAAGATTTTTACACAATATATCAGTTAAAATCACTCAAGATACAACTTTTAGAGTAAATTACATTGATCACTCCTAAGGTTTCTTTAAATTCCCCTTGATACTCCTCCTTTTTAAATTGTTGACCCCTGCACAATAATAAATGAAACTGACACCTCATGTTATTCAAGAAACACAATACAGTGTATACCTCTATAAGGGGCTGCCATAAACGATACAAAAGCAGAGGTCATGTGCCATTTCAATAAACGAAGGGGATTGTTATTGTTATAAACATTAAAAATGCAATGGGTCATCCACAATCTCAAAAAAACCTCAGAGTCTCCCTGTAATTTGCTCAAACTACTTATTACAAAAGTTAATAATCTTATCATACATATATGATTGGATTACTATGTAATGAACTTCTCCTGGATATCCCTCCCTTTTTAATTTTTTACCTTTACACTAATCCCTTAAATTGTTTGAAATACATTAAATTGACACCCCATGTTATTCAAGAAAAGTATTGTGTACAAATCAGTGTCATGTAATTTGCTCTATAAGGGTGTTGCTATAAACATAAAATGATTTTATGATTAAAAATGCAAGGGATCATGTACAAATCAGTGTCATGTAATTTGCTCTAACTACTTATTACAAAAGTTAACAATCTTATCAGAGATAATTATGTAATGAACCTTATAATTCAATCGGAGATTTCCATTGGCATCAGGTTTAGTGTAAGATTCCAAACAACCTGAAACATAAATAAAATCATTTGCTTGCAAGTGTTCTGAAGCAAGCTCTGCCACACTGTTCCACATCATCAGAAACACCCTGTAACAAACGCTCAGCATAATGTTGATCTAGTCACAATGTCTCAACCAAAGCAACAATACTTGCAAATTTCAAGTCAATACCCACTCTGGTCCCTAATTTTGAAGGCACCGACATGTTGATACTTGAAATCAAGAAATTGTTAAATAAGTTCCTAGAATACTAAATAAGTCCTTAAATTTAACAACTTAGTGTCATTTTGGTTCCATGAATATATATCAATATTATCACTTTAGTCACACATTTCTTTTTGAGTTATAGGATTTTTTGAGTAAACTTCTAAAGAAACACTTTTAGAAGAGAAAATTATGAAGAAAAAATGAAATAAATTTTTCAATAAATTAAAATTAGTTTATGCATAAAGTAATATGCATAATTTTTTCTCTTATGCATAAACTAATTTTAGCTTATAGAAAAACTTATTTCAACTTTTGTTTCTGATTTTCACTCCTATAAGTACTTCTCCAAAAAAACTTATCCAAACATAATATAACTGTGAACTTGCACTCTCAGGAACTCGTACACAACAATTTCTTAGTAGCACCTTCCAAATCCAGGACCAATTTGAGTGTTTAGTCTGCAAATTCCCATTGAAATAATAAGAGTAACAATAATAATTTAAAAAAAAAAAAAAAGGAACCTGAAATACGAGCTATTTGATTGGTTTGATCTCCGAACATTGAGCAAAGTATAAACTCCGAATCTACCGTTTCTTGTGTTGACGCGCACCGGTTCGCGCGTGACGGAGCCGATGAAGCTAGCGGTGTTCTCGAGGCGTGGGGTCCACCAAATAGTGGCTGGGCGCTGGAACTTGAGCGCGTGGCGGTAAACGGCGCTGCAGCCCGGAACGACGTCGTCGAAGGAGTGGCGAGTGTGAGTGGAGAAGGGGAAACATGGATGCGGAGAAAGAGTAAACAGCGACGGAGTCGGAAACAGTCTGGTGAAGAAGAACGCTTTCTGTTTCATAGACTCCGACGAAGCATGCCGGTTCCGGCGATCAGGTTTTCCCGCCGGTCATAAATTTCGCCGGCGAATAGGGTTGAAAGTTGAAACCTCTTTCTTTACGCGTTTTTCTCTGTTTTTCTTGAATTTGTTAGGAGGGTCTTTTAGTATTGGGCTACACTTGTGTTATGTGAAAGCCCGTTTCAATCAATTTAGTGTGTAATTAGATTATAGTAAGAAAGTTAGGTTGAATTAAATTTAATTTTTAAATTTAAATTTAGTTAAAAATGAATTAAATTAGTTTGATTTATATTTGATTTTTATCAACATTTAAGTAAAAGCAACAAATATGTTGCTTTAGATGAAACAAAAGTTGCAATAAAAAAATTCATTTAGCAAAAAGGAGAAAGACAACCAAACATATGTCAATGTGTGTTTAAATATATAAACGTCAATCCAAACATATAGTCTTTGATTATAACATCGTTTAATTAACTATGTTTTACCTAATATATTATATAACTAAGCCTTATTATATATTAATTCTACATATTAAATGCAATAATAAAATATATTTCAAGATTAATTTTTTATATTTGAGTTGTTAAAAATTTTCATTTAATTTCATATTTATTTATAAATTAAATTATATAATTTTTAAAATAAATTATCAATAAATAAAAAAAAATTTATATCGTAATATAAATTATAATTGACTTAAAGAATTTTAGAAGGACAAAAAAATAATTTTTATGATAAAAAATATAAAATATTTATTATAAATTTTAGTTATATATATAATAAATACTTATACCATAAAATACACAAATTAAAATACTAGTAATGAAGAATAAATAAATAAATTATATGTAAATAAATATTATATTTAAATATATAAATTATATTTTATGTTTATAATAAATAATTTATATTAAAATATGATATAATTTTTAATTAAAATATTATAAATAAAAATTTAATTAGATAAGAAAATAAAAAGAATTCTAAAAGAATTCTTCATCAAAGAAAAATGTCTAAAAATGTTTTTATTAAAGAAAAATCTCTTCAAATATTCTCGTACAAAATAACTGTTTATTATATATAAATAAATTATTATAATAATTAATATGATAAAATTGTCTCTAGTATTATGAATTATAAAGTAACTTAATTTGAAGAATGATAATAGTCAATTAAATGCTTAATGTAACATTTTGTGCTTTTTAATTAAATTATTTATATATTTTATTATAATAGTTAGATGAGTTGTTATTCTCAACCAATACAATGTATAAATGGAGCTCTTGTGCGGGTTCTTGATAAAGTGATAATAAAAAATATATATACAAAAAGTATTCTTTTATGGCATTAAAGCAAGAAGATTTAGAGTTGGAGAAGATGAAGAATATCTCTGGAGATGCAAAACCTTTATTTATCATCACACCTACATCACCTTATTATCTAAGCTCCTTAGATAATTTAGGAATGCCTCTTGTGGCCATAACACTCAAGGGGGACAATTATCGCACCTGGGCATGTTGCATTAGGATGGCACTACGTGTAAAAAGCAAGCTAGCCTTCTGATGGAGGACCATCCATGAAGACAATAAGGCCTATGACAAGGTCTATGGTAAGGAGACTAGAAGAAGCTACTAAAAAAGATGATGAGCCTAGAGTTGGTTAGCTTAAGTACAAGATAGCTAGTCATGGTTCCACTTAACCATGGTTAGTCTAGCTTGCACCATAAGCCAACCAAACTTCTATATGTAGGAATGGATGTAATGACGAAAATTTCACTTTGGAGTTTAATAAATTAGATTGAATTTTCTCTAATTCTCTCTCTCAAAGCTTGTTTCTCCCTTGAAACTTGTTCCATTTCTCTCCAAAAGGTTTTCCATCATTTGGTATCATGAGCAAGGATTTTTGGTAATCTTTTTCCATGAAATTTCTTATGTCTTTGATTCGTTCAAATGTGTTGTTCTTGAATGTCTTATGTTTGTGTGCTTAGAATTGTTCTTGTGTCACATATATAAATCTATAGAATAATTCACCTATGTCTTGGAGTTTTTGATCCATGCATCAATTTATATGGATCAATCTTGTTGTTGTGTGCCTTTAGGTTAATCTTGTTCTTGCATTTTAATGTTTTAGGCTTGCTTTTATCTTGTTTGGAGTCCCTTAAAATTTTCGGTCAAAAGAACTCTAAAAGAAAAATGTATGACAATGTGCTTTTTCAAATTTTTTAATCCATGTAGTTTTGTCTAGTTGTCATGTTTAGTTCTTATATGTCATTATTTCCATTGTGTGCCTTTTTCTTTTGAATATTTGAACAATATTCTCTATTTTTGTCTCTTAAACATTGTTGGCTGCACATGTTATAAAACTTAGAAGTGCTCATCATATGAATTTTATGCATGTTATTAGATCTAACATGTTCTAATGTCATATTTTTGTAAATTTCATTTGCTAATTCTTGCTTAGCAATTTAAGGCCAGCAATTTCTCTGAGTCATTTGTGTCTTAATTGAACAACAAAACCTGAATAGAAAGTGTGAGAAAAAGAATTAAAAGAAGTTTCAAAACCTAGAGAAAACTAGAAACAAAACTAGTCTTGAATTTCAATAAAATTTCTCTAGTTCAATCACACTTTCTATTAATTTTTCCTCCACCACTAATAAGTCATTTGTTCCTAATTTTGTACTTTGTTTTTAGTGCTCACATTCAGTTTTAAATAAAAAAAATAAAAAAAAATAGCCAAGTAGGCAATTGAAGAAAAAAAAGAAAAATAGTATACAAAAGTTGTGAAAATTGAAAGGAAAAACAAAACAAATTTTAGAGCACTTGTTCTTATATTTTTGGAACTTGTTTCTTGACTTTTATTTTCTATTTTTGGTGGCTACATATACCTCTTAATTGTTCAATTTAATTGCACAAATTTTTGTTTTGTTTTGTAATCAACTTTAGTGTCATTCTTAGGACTATTCATTTGAGAACTAGTGTTGAAATTGTATTTTATTTGTTGCTTTGTGTCTTTTAAATACTCTTTGAATTTGTCATATCTCTTGATACTTGAGTTTATCCTTTCTTAATTGTGTCTTTCTAGTTTTTATTTGTTGGCTTCTTGTCTTTCTTGGTGTGTTGTGCATTCTTGTGGTGTAGGTACACTTCAAAACTTCACCACTTGAAAATATTGGATAATTTGAGACATAGTGGACAACTTCAAAGTGGACAACAACTTGGAGGGATTGAGGTACATATAAACTTGAGAGAAACACCTTTAGTGAGGCTAATTTGGGTGTTCATTTTGCAACCAAGAATTTTCTTTATAAGGAAGAAGATTTAGAGACAGAATTTTACAACAGATTCTTGAACCAGTTTTGAGACAACATTAGAGACAATTTTAGTGACGGATTGGCCGATGCTACTATTCCAAAGACATACCTGCACCATTAGAGACGAAATTTAGTGACGAAATTACGAGGAAAGTACCATGGGACTAAATTTCAGTCTCTAAATCAGTCACAAAATTATGTTTTCTATTTTGTGAATTTTTACAATTTCTTTCTATTACCTATCCTTTTACTTGTAATTCATTAGTCCTATTCTTGGGTTAATTTCTTGTTTCCTTTTTCTAACTCATACTCATATTAGGAGTGGTTTTTGGGAAACCTTTGACTTATCCCACCACCTCCTAAATAGTTTTAATAAAGTTTAGTAACTGTTTAGCACTTGTGGAAGTGGTTTAAGGGACTCTTAAGTGTCACTTGGACTTTCACCCTAGGAAATTTGACTAGTATATGCTTTATGTGCTTTCCTTATTACTTTATTGTTGATTACTTTTTTTAATTTCATTTAGTAATATTTTTAGTTCAGAAGGCTTCTTTTTGCCTACTAGGGGTGAGTGCACACACACACACTTAAATTTTTATGCAAAAAAAAAAAAATTGTTTTGTGAGACAAATATAAGGTGGTTTAATAATTTTTACTTGAAAATACTTGGTTATTAAGTGGCCCTTAGTAGCTCTTAGTAGCTCACTTCCCTTGATAGATCACTTTGTATACTTAGACCTCCAAGTACCAAGTCTTGCACTAAAAAAGAAAACTTTTGTGGAAATCTTTATCACTCTATTGTTGCCTTTTATTAAAAAACTTGTGAAAATCTTTTTCTGCAAAAATGAGTGATCATTCAAGGCATAATAGTGTGTGTGGTTATAATTCCCATATTGATAGGAGTACTACTAAAAAAGAACTTAGGAAGTTAAAAGAATACATAAGAAAAAGGAAGAGGAAAATATAAGAAAAGAGGAAGAAAATAGAAGGAAGAATGAGGAAATAAGAGAAATGTTGGGTAAACTTATAGTTAACCATTCTAATGGGAATGGTGAAACTAGTAAGCCCAAGGGCTTAAATGAAAGTGGGCCTTCAAAACCTAGACACCATGGTGGTGAAAGACCTTTTAGAGGCAAACATATAGAAGGAGTCTCTAGGCCCAAAAGCCAACACACACCAACACACATCACTATGAGTGAAGGGTTTTATAGCAGTCATAATGATGATGACTATTATAAAAAAAATCCTAGGCAACATAGGCCTAGGCAAGAACATACTCAAGTTGCCTTGGTGTTTTGAAGATCTAAACATAAATAGTTCAATTACTTAGAAGAATAATATCATTATTCATGAGCTCATGTTCAGAAGATTATAACTATCTTAGATGTATATCTCAAAAGTCAATGTTTATGTTTAGAACATCATTTATAATAAAAAAATATTTCTTATAAAATTGATATTATAAAAACATTACTTAAGGTTATCAAGGTTTAGCATTCAGAAGACTTTTGTGTTATTTATTATTTTCAAAAAGATATAGTTCAACATACTATTTTTGTTCAAAAGTCTATTCAACACTCAAAAGGTTGTTATGTTGATGGTTATGCTCATGATATATCAGAACTCTTATGACAGTTAATAATACAATATGAAAGAAAGGTAAGATTTTACCTAGAGATTTAATTATTCCTTTATTTACAATAATTGAAAAATTGTGCATATACTAAGATTTTCTCCGTTGTAAATATTGCTTCTATTACATCTTTATCTTTCTCTATTTTCTTAAACAATTCAAATTACTAGTAATTAATATTTAGTTAAATTTATAGATCAATATATATATATATATATATATA